TCTACACCACAGCCTCCCATTTTCTTAATGAGAACGGGGTGAGAGACAGTGTCAAAAGCCTTCCGGAAGTCCAGGAAGACTATGTCCACTGCTACCCCTGCATCTAATGATCTGGTGATCTGATCATAAAAAGCCACCAGGTTGGTCTGACAGGACCTGCCACTGATGAACCCGTGCTGATTGCCCCTAAGCATGCAGTCCCCTGCTGGCCCCTCCTGGATGTGTGCCAGAATTATTTTCTCAAACAGCTTGCCTAGGATCGAGGTAAGACTAACTGACCTATAGTTTCCCGGGTCCTCCTTCCTCCCTTTTTTGAAGATTGGAACCACATTGGCCTTCTTCCAGTCCTCTGGCACTGTAAGTAAGTGTTGCTTACTTACATGGTGGAAACAGGGCTGCTCCACAAACTAGATGCTGTCTGGCACCTGAATGCAGTCATCTGCCTCTAGTGTAAACAGGACATGGTTTATTTTTGTACAAGAGCTGCTGGGAAATAAATCAGTTAGTAGGGTAGAAAAGGCAAATGCTTGGGCCTGGTGCAGGATTCCTCTACAACCGGGCATTCTCAGAAGGAATGCTAAAAAAACAAGGGCCGAAAACACACTTGCCAATTAAAATAGCAGGCTCGGGAAAACTGTACAGGTCCAGAAGATGGATGTAAGTGAGGGCATCATCTGCTGCATTCCATGGGATGCAAGTAGGTTGAGTAAGATGCTAAAATAGAAAGTCCACAGTGGAGTTGCTTGCAGCTCAAACTGCTGATGTAATGAGCTAAACAGCAGAGCATCCAAATCCCAGCTTGAAAAATGTGGAAATATTTTGTTTCTAAATTTCTCTTTATCACACATTATTTGGCTCTTTTATTTTTCTCCCAGAAGCAGCTTAAATCCTTGACATTTTCTCTTGATATAATTTAATGCAGCCAGACAGCCAGAAATCTGTGCCTTGCCTTGTTAAGGTAATGTTCTCAGGCATAGAGTTGAAAAGATCAGATTAATCCTTTAGTCACTGCAGGATTTACCTCTGATGGCCAAATCTGCTCTTCTCTGCATTTCCAGTCTTCGGTGTTGGAGGGTGGCAAAACCGTGCACAATGAGGTGATTGCACTTTGCTCAGGGCTTCAGGCAAATATTTTTTTAATTTCTTTGCTGTGGGTTGGGTTGTCCCATGGAAAACCACTTGCCCAGCACTAGAAGTTACTTCCCCAAAGAAGAGGAATGGATGCTGGAGTTAGCTGGGTCATAGTTAGCTGAAGTTCACTGTATCGGCCATTGCATATTGGATTAGTCTAGTTCCTAACTATTATGTCTAAGGCACCAAAATAATAGTAATAGCAGTCATAATTTTAATAATAGTGACTAAGCTTCAGATATTTTGTTTCTCTTTAGCCGAGAAAAATTATATAAATAGCACTTTGAAAGCATTTTGAATTAAACCCCTTTGGTAATTTAATCCATACAGCAACAGTCTGAAATGCAGAACCAAATCTTGCTCTTTTTGACACTGGAGTAATAGTTTTAAAATCACTGTTGTCATTTTACATTTTGACTGAGGAACAGAGATAGAATGTGGTCTAGTGTTTTAAAGATGCAACAGCATTCTTTAGAGTCAGTTTCCATAACAATTTTCCCTATAGGAAATATTTTACTTTCCCATTCACACTTCACTGGATGAGTTCACCTGATGGTTTCCTTGCAGGTCACCTGATTCAACAGGGTCCTGCATCTATATTTGATGCTTAAGTGTGGGATTTTTTTAGATGGATGTAAGTGAATTCATAGAGCTTGTGTTCCAAAGTGACTTAGGGAACCCAGGCCTTAGGACCCTATCTCTAGTGTTAGGAACTGAAATTTTAGGCCCTATTTTAAAAATGTTGGCCATAGGCACTTAACAGACAAAGCCAAAGCAAAGCAAACCTCCACAGTGGGAGGGGAAATGAATGCAAAGCATCTAATGATTTCAGCTAGCACTCATCAGGGCTGCAGAATTGGGCCCAGTTCTAAATAGAAGGTGAAAACAAACACTTGGAAACAAATGGCTACTGTAGACTCCACACTTCTACCTCTTTCATGCTGATGTTTAGTATGTGTGGTTTCTGATCAGAACACTGTAACTGTGGATCCTTTAGATCCGGGTGGGGGGGAGGAATTGCCATGTGGCATCAACACAAGCCTATACCAACAGTTCCAAGTGTTCTCTTCCCCACCAACAAAGCAGTTTTGTAAAATATTGCCCCGAATTTGAGATTTGAGCTCAGCCTTCATGCATTTTCCAATAGCTTTCCCTGTATTTGATTTATGGAACCCTGTCCGTAATTCCCATGTAAAGCCATCGATGACCAGAAACATTGTCTTTAAGTATATTTAAGAATTCCTCAGCCAGTGATGCGGTTATTATGCTCTTTCCTATTCACAGCCCTATAGGGTATGTAACCCTCTGTCTTGTTGTCCAGCAGGGTGGAGAAGCGGAAGGTGACAGACCCAGTGGGTGCCCTAAAGGAGAAGTACTTGCGACCCTCCCCGCTGCTTTTTCACCCCCAGGTAAAACCAGTAGAAATGCAACCATGTGCCAAGAAGTTAGAGATGGAGAAGGGCCATATTTTAAGTCACATTGTTTCCTACCTCCCCCAAACCAGTGGCCTGTTTAAGCCTTCTCCCCCACTGCCTCACCAGCACCTTCCAATGCTCACTTTTAAAGCCAAGTTTTCACACCAGATCTGAACACAATGGGATCATTTCTATATTCTTCCTTTAGCAGTAGCAAAGTGCGTCCTGCCAGGATACAAGGGAGAAACATCCTGTCCAACCTCTCTTTCTGCTAAAATGCAGGTCTAATTCTTCATGGCTGCAGATCCTCATGTAACCAGTTGCATCAGGCAGTTGCAACTCCTTTACACTCAATTGTGTCACTGTAACGAGCTCTGCAAAGTGCAGGACCATGGAGAATCAGGCCTTCCTGATCCACTTCATTTTAGAATCGATGTGCTGCTACTGACTCAGAAAAAGATTGTGCACCTCTCATTTTCCCACATTGATTATACTGTTGTACAGGAGGTAGGTTGTCTAAGGGGCTCAGGCACTGAGCCATCTTTGCCTCAGTAAGGCACAGGACCCCCCACAAAGGGGATGAGAAGTGGGGCCATTCCCAGCCAGTGTACTGGGCTGGGGCTAGGAAAGTCAGCCAGGTGGGTTGTTGTTGCCATGCTGTACTCTTTGCAGAGGTGTTGCATTGGACCTTTAACACAGAGTATTTGAAAGGTGTACCTCATACCTAAACCCAGAGGAACTGACAGTGTCAGAGAAAATCCAGCTCAGTTCATGAAAAACTCATTGGATAAGGAAAAATTAAAACCTGTAACATGTGACAATTCTTCTACTCCCCAAGACTCCCCATTATTCAGTTGGAGATAATGCTAGCAACCCAGCCATCAGTGCACTGTCCTTTTCTGTGCGTCAAGCACCGGCTCTCCTCTCTCCAAATTTGCTCTGCAGTCAGTTGTTCAGTCCCTTTACATGCATTGTTCTATTTTGCTAGTGTTTCCCACCTTGGATAAATAACCCACAGGTTTGTGAAAGCTCAATCCCAGCAGCTTTCACAGCTAAACTTAGTTCCCGCATTGTTTCACATCAGCCCCAGAGTTTGGTTAATAACTTCCCCTGATTTTTCCTTCAAACAGGCTGGATAATGGCGACAGGCTGGTCAGGAACATCCTGTGTTTGTGTGAGTTAGAATAGTGGGGATATCTGCCTGTAAAGGATCTGATAGCGGGGAGGAGCTGCCATGGCAAAGCAGGGCCCCAGCAAGTTGGTGAGGAATTGACAAGGCCCCAACAAGAGCAAGCATTGGGTGGAAGGCTATTAACATTGTTCCTGAAATCCAGGCCCCCCTGCTTCCCATGGAAAAAAAAAAGATATAAGAGGCCTGGTTATCTCTAACAGCCTACTACCAAGAATGGTCCCAAACCTACATATCACTCAGCCTGCAGCTTCCTGATAACTGATTTTTTAATACAGTACAATGGGTTACTGTACAAAGGCCACTTAAAAGAGAGTAGAATAACTGAATGATCCTGTGGTTCCCATGTTATGTCACTGATCTGGTCATGGGACTATGCTAGGTGGAAGCAGAAAGACAGAATGCTTTCATCTCTTTCATCTCACATTGCATGAAATTCGTCCACCCCGCCGCCCTCACACCCTGCGCTTGCCTAAATCCCATGCAACTCATGGGTGCCGTGCATCTCTACCACAGTCTTCCTGACTTGAATGTATGTCCCAAAAGTTTAGAGTCCCAAATCTACAGTCCACCCATAGCATTCCTTTGACCAAGAGCACAATTGAGAAATCTGTGTATTTCACTCCCTTGATTCTGCAGTCCCTGCTGGCATGACTAGTCCCATTCACCCCACACAAAGTCCTGGGTGATGCACCAGGCAGAATCCAGCCTCAGTGATAATGACTGGATGTTCATAGGGCCTTTTTTCTCTTAAAAGCCAACTAAATCTTAAGCAATGCTGATCTCTCTTCTAGTGCTCCTCTGCAGCCTCTCTTTCAGGAGTTGAATCATTCTTACATTGTCTATTTTAAACGAAACTCTAGACAACATAAATAAATGGTACAACTTTATGATTGCTTAATGACAAACCTTTTCCCACCTGTTAAGTTTCTTTTCTCCTTCCTTCCTTCCTTTTTATTATAACGAGTCACTTTTTCCCTAAATAGCAAAGTGCCTTTACCACTAGAGAGGCCATGGCCAGCATTTAGAAATTTCAAATGAGCCCACAGCTATCATGCCAGCAAACATCTCTGACTAAGTGCCTAAAGAGCAAAGCACAACAAAAGATATCTCCAGGTACTCCAGCAAAGGGCTGAGTGACATGGCTTTGAGAGATCCAGATAGCATTTTAACATGATGGTTTTGTTACATGACTGGCAGCTAGGGCAGAGCTTTTGCTGTAAATGAACAAGTAACCTTTTCAAGTGGCTGGCGCTAAGTGTTACTTACGATTTATCATGGGCTGTGAACCTCCAACTCAAGGGCCCCAGGTCTATTAACAAGAAATGGTTTTACTACTCCTCTTTTTGTTGAGGTTTATGAATGGTTGTCAACTTTGCACCATTTATTCTTGGGTGATTGAGACAACTTTTTTTTTTATAGAGATACATTTAAACAATATCTTGGCTCGCTTCTGCCCGCCCCTCTGAGACCTAAAGTGTAAACGTGTAAAAGGTCAGCCCTTCCTGTACAATAGAGCATCTAGTTTTAATATATGGCTTCCTACTACCTTCTGCTCACTCACTGTCTCCCCTGCTTTCTCTGACTCTCTAGCTTGCAGGCTCCCACTCCCTTTAGTGCTCCCTTTTCCCTTGTGAGGTCATCACGGCTTTATTACTGGCTTGTTTGTTTCCTTCAAGTTTTCAGTCTGGTATCTCAAAAAGGCTTCTTCTAAGCAGGGAAGCTGAATGCTGATAAAGTCAGCTCAGTCCTCCAAATTACATGTCTCCCTTGGATTATTTGCACTAATGGGTGTCACAACATCTCCCTTCATTACTGCATGAGTATTTGTTTGGATTCCTTTGCTGCTTCCCCGGTCTGTTTATCCCTTCTGCTTTGGTCATTGAATCCTGCTCATGAGGATTGCAGCCTGATGAATCATGCCTTGGAGTAGCAGAGAGACAAGAGATGATGCAGGCATCTTTGGCGCATCTGTCCCCCTGTTCACGCATATTCCCCACAAGACAGTGGCTGTTAACTGAGTATCCCTCTGTTGTAGCTTTCTGAGTCCTTGACCCCTGTATTCTGCCTTCCTCTGTCTCCATGCCCCATCTGTAATATTTCAAGATACTTTCCCAAATCTTTACTTTTCCACCTACAGGGAGCCCAGAATATTTTGCCTAGAGTTCCCTTCCACTTCAGGAAATGGTATCACAGCCACCCTTCTGTCTCCTTCACTTGCTCCCTTGCCTTTTTTTGTGATCTAATTAAAAGGTTGACCTCTTAGCTCTCCAAACTCTCCATGGATTGACTCATCCTGAGCCCAACCTCAGCTCTGCCCACTTCTCATCTTTTGTTGTTTCTTCAACCTCTCCCCCATCACCACAGTCAGCAGTAACTCCTTTACTTCGGCTTCCAGTCCCTCCAAACCCACTGGAACCCTTGCCTTTTTTCATGCAAGTTGCGTTCAGCTTAAAACTTCCCTCCCCTCTTCCTACTGGTGTGGCCTGTCTGTCTGGCCCTCCCTCTCTCCCTCTGTGTCCCTCATGACACAAGGTGAGGGGAGTAGAGTCTATATTAAAAGTAAAACCTGTTGAACCCTGATTCTGAACTGTGTTGGCTTTGGGTTCAAGGGAAAGGTTTGCTGTGTGACTTGGGTCTTGTATCTAGTTTCCCCACCTTGGCCTTGGAGAGGGGAAGCTGGGTATTTGGTGAAGTTGCTGTTAATACTAAGAGTAAGCACATGCAAAGAGCCTAAGGTAGACACATGCCTAGTACCATTTCTAAAACCTTATGCAGTCACCTCAGTCAGACTCTGCTATATAAGCTGTTTTTTCACACTATTTCTAGGAGCCTGGGTTAATCATTTCTAACTTCATTGATTGGATTCAGTGCCCCTGACTCGGTAGAGCTGGCTTCTGAGGACAAGAGCAGCAGTCAGCTACAGCCCCTGAGATGCACAGTGCAGCTTACAGACATGTTTTGTGCCTCAAGTGTTCTTCTTTCAGTGGCTGCTCATAACACGGTGTTTCTACTTGTACAAACAGATGTCAGCCATAGAAACCATGACAGAGAAACTGGAGAGTTTTGCAGCCATGAAGGCAGACACTGGCACTTCTCTGCAGCCCCTCCCACATCACCCCTTCAACTTCCGGTCCCCACCTCCCACGCTGTCAGATCCCATCCTGCGCAAGGGCAAGGAGCGCTATACCTGCAGGTAAAGGGCAGGGCAGGGCTTTGTGCTGCTGGGAGAACTAAGCAAGGTAGTGGAATCACAGCTCCAAGTCAACAAGGCAACAACAAAGAACATGAACAGGACTTAAAACCATGTCAGATGGGTGCGTTACAGGGCCCTCTCATTCACAGGAGTTAGCAGGCTCCATTGGGGTGGGAAGCAGCATGAGAAGAGGATTCTGGTGATCCCTTCACTCTAAAAGAGTTGGTTTGGCTTGGAAAAAATTCCTCCTCCTCAAATGGGTCTAGCTGTTCTCAGGCCAAACCATTTTTTTCCAAGGCAATTTGGGGGTGGAGGCGAGGGGGAGAGGTTTGGGAGGGCAGAGTTGAAATTAGGGCTCTCTAATGCAAACTTATTGCAAGATCAGCTATGCAGAATATTGCTGTTTAAAGAAAATACACAACATGCTGCCTTATCTACACCCATATTTATGGATCCTTTGTGTCTGCAAAATCTAAAACCAGAGCTTGCAGCTGGGGTAATAAGGATCTGTAGCTCCATGCCCGTATTTTTATACACAGTTACCAAATTTCCTTACAACAGTTGCATCCCATTTTGGAGCAAATGCCAAAGGTGTCATTTTGGTGGTACATCCACTGTGTCTACCTTTGCAATGTAGTTTTTGGATCAGGTTGGAAGTGGGTATTCAGAAAGCTATGGATTCTATTATTTACCATGGGAAATCCATGCTGGTTCATATTTCGCATGTGGAAATATGAGCTGCAGAGTTTTATGGTGTCAAAATTTAATTCCTTTCCTTTAATACTCCCCCCACCACCACCCCTTTTCTGACTACCCTGGTCTACGTTTATATTTAAATACATGCCCCCCGCCTTTTGTGTTCATTGCAAAATCCATTTCCCTTTCTTATTTTCCTGCTTTTTGGTGCCTTGCAGTTGCCAAAAGCAGAACTGTTTGGTTCCAAGCAGATGATCTCACAGTTCCCCCACACAAGGGTAATTGACTGTCCCGATGGGTATTTGAGCCGTCTTTCTTGTCCGTTCTCAGAACTGGACCCTTAATTGAATTTCTCTTGTCCCATTACTTTATTCTGTGCCTCAAATGAAACAGATCGTACCACCCCCTTGACCCCTCACGGCTTTAATGCACTGATGAATCCTTTGGCTTTCCCCCTTTCTAGGTACTGTGGTAAGATCTTCCCACGGTCAGCAAATCTGACAAGGCATCTCCGGACACACACAGGGGAACAACCCTACAGGTGAGAGTTTTCCCCACGTGGTATCCCTGTCTCTGCCTGCCGGTTCCCTGGGGTGTTATTCTACTGCCTGCAATAAAGGTCTGCCGGCATGCTCGTGGAGGAATGAGGCAATACACAGGGTGATTAGGAAGGTTGTTTATTATGCAGTTGGGTCAGAAATGTCAGACTTGGCACCTTCCATTTAGGCCCTCATTTTAATTTTTTTTTAGATATACGTTGGCACAGAAGCAGTCTGAATCTGAGAGCTGTTTCATACTCCCATTAACAGTTTACTTCAGGGAGGGCTCAAGGTGCTGAATGCCTCTAAACACTGCTGTTGTGGGGGGTTGTTGGTGAGCTAGTTTGAGGACATATCTGGATTTCTTTTTTTCTTTTCATAATGTGTCAGAGTTGCCTAGAATCAGAGACCACAGGGCCTTTTTTGGTATATCTGCTTTGAAATCTCAATGCGTAAATTTGAATTGGAATACTTCAAATGTTAAAGCTCTGGTCACAGTTAGCGAAGGGGCGGATGTTCACACTGTGGTCTGCGCTTGCCACACACACAAGGTCAGTTGTGTGCAAACCTTCTGACACCTTCCTTTCACATCCTTATCCCTACACATGCACAACAGATTCTGAAGCTTGCATGCTTAAATGGTAGGAGCTTCATGGTAGGAGTACAAACCCCACTCGGAACAAATGTTTTAGATATTAGTGGAGTGAATGAGAGAGGTTACAGTGAAACAGTTTTCATTGAAAATGGAGAGGGGGGAATTTTTGCCAAATTTTATTTTTCCTTCCATTTCTCTCCAGGTTGGTCAGAAAAATATAGATAAAAAAATGTTTGGCTGGCTTCAGTTTGAGTGCAAGTGTACAGTTCTGCAAAAACTGTGCTTAGACAAGTGAATGACAAATTGAGGCTTGAATGTCAGGCAAAGAGTATATCAAAATAATCGTCACCAGGCATTCTGGTTGTCTTTGATTAAAAAAAAATCCCTATTTTTTGGATTAAAAAAGTAACCCCAAATCCACATTTTTGTGTGATTAAAAATGCACGATATAGATGCACGTTTTTCTGTGATTAAAATGAAATGCACTATATATATATATATAAGTGGCATATCATTTTAATCACAGAAAAATGTGGATTATTTTGGGTTACTTTTTTTAATCCAAAAATTGGGGATTATTTTTTTTTTATCAGAGAAGACCAGGATCCCTGATCATCACTAGCTTTGATAAGTGCCATGGTTACGGTTCTGGAGACTTATAATATTATCAAAAGTTAAGATCTTTTTCACTTTTGTGCTACTGTGCTAATAGCTAATATCACAGGGATGTCAATGCACAGTCCTCAGCTCATGACAAAGATAATGGGTACATCTACACATGCAGCTAGCACATAGCAATAAACTCTGGCACAGTTTGCACTGGAGTTTATTGCTGCTGGGCCCAGTGTTTACACATGAGCTTGGGACCGCAGCATGTTGAGCCAGGGCAGAACAGCCCGGGCTGGCAGGAGGATGGGGGGGTCCACCTGTCAGCCTGGAGCTGCTCTGCCCTGGCTCAACCTTCTGTGGAGAGCCTGGCTGGAGCATGAGGGTGCTACGGTGTGGGGCTAGCTGACAGGCAGCCCCCGCACTGAAGCACCCTTGTGCCCCAGCCAGCCCCAGTCACTGTCTACACATGCGTTTTAGTGCACTAAATAACTGCACTGTAGGATAGTACTTGTCCTAGACAGCACTATCCTACAGCAGAGTTAATTAATTTACTGTGCCCTAATAGGGCATGTGCAGATGCTGACACCTTACTGTGGAGCTAATTAGTCAGCTCTGCAATAAAGTGTCTCATGTAGATGCACCCAATATGTAGTAATGACTGTATAAAGAGAAGCATGAAGAAAAATGAGGAACAGCAAAAAGCCATCTGGACAAATATATTGAATTGTTGGGGGGACTTGCGGGGGGGAGGGGGAGGGGCTGGATGGACAATTAGTTTAACTTAAGAATCTCCTTTCTCCCTAATTTAAACTTCAGCTACCTTTCCAGAAACTGTCAAATGTTGATTGTAGACATCAGGTAAATTCTTTTTAAGGACTCTCTGAAACGGGCAGAAATGGTTTGAATGAACACTGTATATTCATTACCCACCCTTGTCTGACTAAAATGCATGTTCCCGATTATTCACAGATTGTTAGTCCAGTTTTCTTCCAAAAAAGGAGACTTGCAACTTAACAAAGGTTAGGAAAATAAAGATTTATTTGATCTGGTCTTCTCCCAGAAAATGGTCCGTGTGTGTTTTTTGTAATAGAGGTTTGACTTCTGGACAATGTTGCATTGTAATAGCACTCCTGAGAATTAGTGCTATGTTTACAGAAGAGTTTAATTATCATTGATTTTCTTTTCCTATCTGAGAACTGTGATTTCCAACTTCAGCAACAATAATTGTTTTGAAAGCTTGTTTTGCAAATACTGACTCTGTCTGGGCAAAAGCAGGTCACCAATTCTCAGGATTTATTGTTGTTCTTATTGTAACTTTTCTTTCTTGTTTTAAGTAGTTTCTATGTTGACTGTGGCAATCAGGAGAGTTATTTGAGCAACCATATGGACAAACCTGAACAGAAACCCACACACATGAATACAGTCCCACAATATAAACATACAAAATGTCCAATATAGATGCAGCATGGTTTTACTAGAGCAGGGAGCAGTAAATCATAAGGTCTAGGTTCTAGTCCTGATGGTCACTGATTTACTTTGTGACCTTTGCCTTTCTCCAGTATCTTACATGGGGATTACATTGATTGAATAATATTGGTACAGTGCTTTGAAAATGAAAAGTGCGGTTTATGTTATTAAAGATGCATGCAGTAATGCACTATGCACATTTTAAAACAAAATAGTTAAAGATGCTTCACCTGCATCATGATATATGTGTGTGTGTGTGTGTGTGTACACCTAGGCAATAATGTGCAATTAAATGGCATTCTTTTCTATTCATAGTTCTTTCCTGCAGCTGACCAAAAATTCAGCAGTATGTGTTTTGAGACCCAAGAATAAAAGCAATTAAATGTAACTGTTGGAATTTCCTTCTGTGGAGGGCAAAATAAGTTGGGCTTGTTGTGAAATAATGGCAACCTTTCTTGGCAAGTCAGGAAATAAAAAGCAAACAAACAGGACTTGGTCATCCTTCTCCTAAGCCTTATAGTACAGGACTCAGAGCAGACAGTTTTGAACGAAGCTCTTGCAGATAGAAAGGTATTCTGTTGTTGTGTTTCTCCCTCTGTTAGAACAATGTATGACCAGAACTGAGAACAAGGAAAGGCTATTTGATCCAAAAGGTATTTTCCCTCTTTCAAAAGTCCATTCCCTCCAGGATGTCATCTAATGTCTGCTGGGCCCCCTTTGGGCCCTGGGGGAGGCTCACCTGGGCCTAGAGTGAGTGAGGATTTAGTTAGGGAGCTTCTGGAGGGGCTGGACATTTTTAAGTCAGCCG